CTGAAAGTTAGGAAGCGTTTCCTATCACTCAAACCTCTATGTACTCAACCTACTGTCTCTTTCATCTACCTTCGGCAGATACGAGGCTGACGGCTCACGATTTTCAGGCACAGAAATTCTTGCAACCTTTTTTTCCAAATAAATAAATAAATCCCTCCTCAGATAAATTAAATGGAAAACAAATGTTTCATCTCCTTCCCACCATTTTTAATTGAGTTTCCAGTCTTCCCAAGACAACACACAGAAGCGCCTCCACAAGCTTTTGGCAACTCAGCAAGTGTGAACCCTCCCCTTAAGACAACAGAGGGGGAGAGCAGACACTGCTGGCTTATTGACTGAGGGAAGAAGCATCCAACTTCTGTAGCATTCTTGATGCACACATCAGGAACACCGAAAGTTGACCGTCTTCCCTTATTTTGATGAGTTGTGCTCACCTTGAGAGGCAATGCAAATTCTAGAGGCTCACAGGCCCATAGGACATTATGAATACACATCTTTCAGCTACTGTAATGCAGATGCATATATTGCTTTCAGCCAGAAGTCCCCCCCTTCTCTCTCTCTCTCTCTCTCTCTCTCTCTCTCACACACACACACACACACACACACACACATTCTGTTCTTTAATCCCTTTGGATCTCAGACTTTCCATGGTGGAAACGAAACTCCTGTATTTGCTTAATGGGCATTTGGGAAGAGTCCAGACACATTTTCACAGGATTCTTTCCCTGCCCTCCCGACAGAACTGTGGTTTTGCAGTGGAATTCCCTCCGAGCCTAATTTACATCGGAGGAGGAAATGGGTCTTGCGCAATAAGTCTTCTTGCATTCAGATGCTATTAAGTGAACATTATTCATTTGTGAGGAGGAGCGGACAGAGGAATGATATAAGGTTTGTCAAGAGGCCAGTGTTTTTAAGCTGCTCAACTCCATCCCCCAAGAGCCTGGCTATGACTTTTCTGCATTCAAAACCCACCCTCTCCACATCCCCTATTTCTCTAGCCAGGATTCTAGTCTGTTCTAATTTTTTGTATTTTTTTTATTATGCCATATGTGTAGCTTGAGGTTATATTGGAGCACATAAATCTCGTGTGAGCCACAAAACATTAAGCCGCCATTATCCTTATAATTTCATTATCTCCGTTTCTCTACCCTACAACATTTTAAACTAATTGAACACCCGAGGTTTTCCTGTGAAGTTTATTTCCCAGACTTTATTAAAGTACTGTTGAGAGAGCCAAAAACGTCTGGAGTCAGCGTTTCCTAAAACATCCCGATTTATTAAAGCAGGGGGGATAAAATGATAAAGAGGGCCAAAATGCTAAATTGTTCTTATCTTCCTTCATACATTTCTGCGCTGTGTGTTTTAAAGCTAAATTTCCGTGGGCAGGGTGTGTGGGTGTGGAATATGAAACCTCCTTGGTGTATTTTCCATGTTATAGTATTTTGGAAAAAATCTTGCTGGTTGTTTCCTTTCAGCTTAGATTAATTTTTATTTCTTCACACGTTCAAGTTGTTTGGCCTCTCGGATTGTTGCCACACAAGCTGTCCCTTGCATTTAATTTATGCAGCTAATAGCAACCCAGTGCTCCTGGAGCAGCCTAGATGCATTTGTTCTGAAATATCTGTCGTAATACTTGCCTCCTGAGAATGAGCAGGCATCTGTAGCTAAAAGGGCAACCATTATATAGTGCCTGATGCAGACATCCCTTGTTTGTAGAGTGGTACCTCAGGTTAAGTACTTAATTCGTTCCGGAGGTCTGTTCTTAACCTGAAACTGTTCTTAACCTGAAGACCACTTTAGCTAATGGGGCCTCCTGCTGCCATCACGCTGCCGGAGCACGATTTCTGTTCTCAACCTGAAGCAAAGTTCTTAACCTGAAGCACTATTTTTGGGTTAGCAGAGTGTGTAACCTGAGGCGTATGTAACCCAAGGTACCACTGTATGTGTGGTGCCCTAGTACATAGGGAAGACCAGTGAACTGCAAGCTCCCACAACATCAGCCCAAGCGGAGCCTCCCTTGAGGGGACAGCCCTCCAAGTTCCAAGCAGCAGGCAAGTAGAAGAAACAGAGCCCAAAACTGAGTAGCAATAGGGCAGCAACATACCCCCTGAGTACACATGGTAGCATCATTGGCAAAAACAGACTCTCACCTGTACTCCAACTAGGACAACTCCCATCACAAAGCCCTAAAGAAGCAGTCATGTGGTCATAGCCAGGGAGCACTTTGGTTCTACGTGACCTCCTTGTTAAGCACAGTAATTTAAATCACTGAACTTGTAAACGCTTGTACGCATTGCTATGTGTTTAAATTTGATTGGTTGGTCACCGAATTCTAGAGAGATCTCTAGCAGTTCTCATGTGGTTGGCTAATGGTCACATGGGAGGTATCTAGTGAAGGAGAGGCTCCATTTTATGTGGAGCAAGAGGACTGTATTTGGGAATCCACTGTGAACACTGCTAAGTTGAATAGAGCGATGGAGTGCTTCTTGAAAGAAGTGCTCCTTTCTTCTCGAAAGAAAGAGAGCAAAGCTGTAGGAGAAGGTAGAAGTGGAAATCTCTCATAGGAGCTTCAGGGCATAGTCTCATTGAGATGCAGAAGGCTGAGTGCTGAGTAATGGGAAAGTGGAAGATGAAGATGAAGAAGAAGAAGAAGAAGAAGAAGAAGAAGAAGAAGAAGAAGAAGAAGAACTACTCAGCCCAGGAAGACATGGACCTGTGCCTAGAAAGCTGTGCTGGTCCTGTGGGTAACCGTGAGGCGAGGTCCGAGTCCAGTCCGAGGTCGAGGGTGCAGTAGGGAGGCAGTCCGTCAAAGCTGAAGCTGGGTCCAAGGCAGGGAGTTGGGTGAGGTCAGGAGCTCCTGCAAGACAGGGTGCAGGCAGGAACTGGCTACCAACGATGTTGCTCCCTCAACTTGGGACTGGGGCTGGCTGGCTTTTATCTGCCCTGAAGCATAGGGCAGCCCCAGTCCACAGGTGACTCACCTCTCCTGGCCTGGAGGCGAGCACTCCTCCTGCAGGAACTTAGTTCCCTCCACCTCTCTGCTCTGAGCCTCTGCAGCTCAGGAGAGGCTGGAGGGTTACCGGACCCAGAGGCAACCTCAGCTTTCCCCGGGGGGGCTGAGAGTGGGGCACCTGCAGGCAATGGGTCCTCCATCACCTCAGGAGCCAGAGCAGACTCAGCTGGTGCCTGCACCTGAGGATCCAGCACAGGTGAGGACCCTTCAGGCTCAAGCCCCAGCCCCGGCTCAGCTGGTTCTGGAGGTGGGGAATCCTGTGCAGGCTGGGATCTCTCACGTTCAGCATCCGAGTCCGAATCCCAGGCCATCACAACAGCATGGAAGAAAAATTAAGTGTGGATGAGCCCCAAGATTAGCATAGGGCACTTGTTCTTTGTTGAGGATTTGATGAGACTGTTTCTCTTTTCATGTATTCATAGTCTTTACTTTTTCTTTCTGTTAGTGAGCATTATACAAAAGTTGTAGTAATATAAATAAAAATAAAAAGACATGCAAAGTGGACATGCCTAATTACTAAAATCCCCATGCCACTGTTGTGAGCATTCTAATCATCATCATCATCATAAACATGGCAATAATAACAACAGTGAATGAACAAATAAGTGAATGAATGAATAAGTATAGAGAACTCTTTCCTGAATCATTAGCTGGCAAAATGATTTGTCCCAAGGTCTTTTAATCTCATCTCATAAATCAATCCCTCCAGCCCATTAATCAGCTTTGTTGTGGTTCTTTGAATCCCTTCCAATCCGTTGACATCTGTCTAGTACGAAGGTGCTCAGCGCAGAATACAGAATTATGAATGCTGCTTCTCATACTGGCGCAAGCATGTGACATGGTGATGTCTGGGGGAAGTGTAGCTCTCGTTAAGGAAAGGAAAGGCACACAGAAATTCAATTCAGAAGTAAGCTGCACTTATTTCAATGGGATTTGCTCCCAGAGAAGTGTCTAGGATTGCAGCCTCAGAGAAGCGATGGGGTTGCTCTGTCACTGCAAGCAGGTTTATTGGTTTATATGTTTGGTACGCTTCTATGAGGAGTGTAGGAGTGATCCCGTTTTAACCTCACAGCCCTGTAAAAGGTGTAGCCTTGGTTGGGAGAGAGACAGAGCGATTTGCTAGAGGGCACCCAGGGGAGTTTCGTGGATGACAGCAGCTATGAATTCAGTCCAAAACTCTCTGTCGGCTGTCCCACACTCTCTCTCAAAAAAAGCACTGCAATTATTTGACACAGAGTTCCTCGGAATTCCTGCTGGAAAGAGTTGAAGGGAAAGCTTGCTTGTCAGAAACGGAATCTGGGCACCTGAGATACGATCTCACGATGTTTTATATATATTTCACAAATGCTGATTTTCACAAATTCCAGCACCCAGCAGGAAGAGCCTATGTTAACATTTATAACTAAGGCCTCATTTGCCTCCCTTACATTACAACTGATGTCCATATGTAAGTCAGTAAAATGGTAGTTAATGTCTAACACACTGTGGCGATCACACAGGGGCCCCCGACGTTTGATCCCTGTGCCACCACTGTGATTTCTTCCCCGCTGCCACCAACCCGTTTCTCTCGGGTACACACTGAGTCCAGACAGTTGTTAACATTAAACCAAATAAACAAGTTGATTTTATAAGCATTAACAAGTTTATGGTTTCAGATAATTTTTCTTGTCAGTTTCTTAATCTTAGTTTCTTTACCAGCCTATACCTTCCTAATACCTTCTAACTGATTATCCCAACTATTTAACTGACTCCTCTTAACAGATTCTCTCACTCTCTCACAACAAACTAGCCCAACCCACAGACTTATCCTCCCTCTCCCTTCTCTAACTCCAGACTCACTTCTTAACAACTCTAACTCCTCCCCTTGGGTTCCTATTGGTTAATCATTTTACACTTAGTTAACCCTTTCCTTATGACCCAGTATGATGTCACACACTGACGTCACTAAAGGAGAACTTCCAATATTGTTCCATGAATACGATACACACTCTTAAGTTAGTAGGAGCCCTGTGACTCTTTGTGATGACCGAGAGTCACAGTTGTGGAATATGGCCATCCATCCAGAACTGAAGAGGGGAATATCAGGGCTCCCTTCTGTCAGGCACTGGGCAGAGGAGGAGGAGGAACGGTGGAGACCTCCTCCCCATCCTGACCCTTCCAGGGAGAAGGAAGAGGAAGACAGTATAGATTTACAACAGGGGTTTGAGGGAGGTCACAGCTCAGAGGCAGATGAAGGGAAAAGTTAGGAAATCATGCGAGAGCCAGAGCAATGCATGGCTGACACGTTGCCATTAGAAAACATTCCAGATCCACCATCTCACAGATCCCGGCGAGCCTTAAAAATAGGAGAGCAAATAGCTGAAAGATAGAGGGCATATAGTAGCAACTGTAGAAGTGACAAGGGAGGAATTGGGAGAGATGGGGGATGGAGATTCACTCAGGACAATGCCATTATCCAAGAGGCTGAGTTCTATAGCTTCTTTCTGTAAAGATTGAAATAAAAAAGGACTGTAATAAACTTTTCCTTGTCTTTATACTTCTCTGGGCAACCAGCCGGGAGCCGCTGACAGCATCCTGACACCTTCAAACGGAGAGCTGGAGAGACATTTCCCTGTATTTCACTGGTGTGTCTGCATGTGAATAAAGCAACCATCTTGGGACAGCCTGTGGTGCAGGTATTTCCTACTAGATTAGAATCCCTCCAGGAGAGAACACACCAATTGTGTATGAGGGAGAACCATGAGACACCTGTACATTTCAGTGATTTTATACACACAGCAGACCAGAATTATGCCACGGGGAAAGAGATGTTAAGCCATTGTACAATTCTGAGCACAATTCAAAGTGTTGGTGTTGACCTTTAAAGCCCTAAACGGCCTTGGCCCAGTATACCTGAAGGAGCATCTCCACCCCCATCGTTCTGCCCGGACACTGAGGTCCAGCGCCGAGGGCCTTCTGGCAGTTCCCTCACTGTGAGACGCAAAGCTACAGGGAACCAGGCAGAGAGCTTTCTCGGTAGTGGCGCCCGCCCTGTGGAACGCCCTCCCATCAGATGTCAAAGAGATAAACAACTACCTGACATTTAGAAGACATCTGAAGGCAGCCCTGTTCGGGGAAGTTTTTAATGTGACATTTTAATGTATTTTTAATATTTGTTGGAAGCCGCACATGCGTGGGGTACAAATAATAAACTATTATTATTATTATTATTATTATTATTATTATTATTATTACAGTGATGTGCAAAGGGGAATGTAGTTTAGGGCCTGACTTTTGTTAGGAGAGCATTGTTCTCTTGGGGTGGCAATGCTGTGTCTGGTCTGTACTGAAGAGGCTGTTTAGGTTTGGGCTCATGTTGCGGAGAGATGGAGGGGTTGTTTTATGGTTGGGTTAGTTCAGTGCTGCATGTTGGTTTTAAATAGTTTTGTACTTCTGTGGACGTCTTTGAAAGATTTGTATAAAGTGCCCGACAAGTTAAGTAAATAATAATGATCAATAGTAACTATTATGTGCCTCTTTCCACAGTCTGGTCAGGTTAGTCAAGTGGTTTACAACAGTGTGAGCTGGACCAGTTACAAAGAAAAGCCAGTTTCTGTTCATCATTAAAAAGCTATTCAAGATAAGGTTTCCTGTAACCAATGACAAGAACGTCTTTATATCCTCAAACCACAGAAAGAGCCCCGTGGTCTCCAGGCTCTGGTCCCAATGACTATATACATTACCTTGTTAGCATAAATCAACAGTCACAGAACAAACTTTCCTGTTTCTTTCTGTTCCAAATGTCTCCTTAATATCATATAATCCACCAGCTGATGTAAAAGTGAGTGACATGATCAAAAGTGACTTTTAAGTCACGTTTGACTATGTTGTGCTTCAGAGATGCAGATATCTTAGTCTAGAGAACAGGGAGGGGAAATGAACCTGTGATATTTTATCTATTACGTCTTAAATTCATTTATGCTCCACCTATTATTGTGACCCATATAACTTTCATTGGTTTTTTTGGACTCTTTTCATAAGGAAGAAAAGTGGCTGGGGCATGGGGGGGGGGGATAGTGATCCATGAAAGCTTATGCCATGTTGGTTAATCTTTAAGTTGCTACAGGACTCCTTTTTTTGTCTTGGACTATGAGTAACAAGCAACCGCAGGCCATAATCCAACTCACAGTTAAGAGAGCTTAAGTCTACTGACGTCAATGGGTTTAAGTGTACTTAGCTCTGGTTGGGTTATGGCTTTAGCTTTTAATCCATTCCCCTTGTGCCCCCGTCAACTAAAGCTAGCCTGTTTGAAAATCTGATTAATTCAGGGGGGGAGGCAGTGCCTTCCAGCATTCAACCAGTTATGGCTGAGGTTAATTGGGTGTCCCGACTAGGGATTCTGCTCTGACTAGTCTTCGTGAATGGAATTCCCAAGTCCCTGACACTCAGAACACTGTCGGAAGAGAGGGTCACAGCTTTCTTCTTCACCTTTCCTTTAAAGGATGTAAATGATGGCGGATTTAATATCTCCTTTAGCAAAATGCTTTCTTTTCCTAGGCACCGGCTCCCCACCCCCCTCACTTTCAATTTTGAGAGTAATTAACTTCACTTTGACAGGAGCTCTTCAGTAATAATTCTTCAACAGCAATTCCTGTTTGACTGGTTTATAACAGCTCCTTACCCTCAATTAATAGATAAGATAAACCTAAACCTGATTAATCAAGAGGGACTTTAGGAAAACGGTATATACCTTTATGGCTTTGCATCTTAATTAAACATGCATTTAACCTGTTTGAAAGCCAAGGACTAATTGGGATAAGCTGTACTGACCCCCAGAGTGGATGTTCCATAATACCAGCTGCACGTTGCCATGTGACCAGGCCCTCTTAATCTTGAATCTCAATTACTATTGACCACTCTCGCTGTTTTATGACGAGGCCACGAGATCGGAGCTTTACGAGGTGAAGAGAAAAGGAGACAAGGCTAACACTGCCACATTTTTTTTCATTTATGTCGCAAAGTCTTCTTTTTGTGTGCGCAAAGGTAGGCGTCACTAGCATAATTCCATCATATCACCGTAAATTAATGCAGAAGAATCCTAAAATATGGGCAATGTGACAGCTTTGGCCATCAGAAAAACAATCCTCATGCCCATCTGATGTTGTTTGCTCCAAGAAAGCTTAATTTAGGACGACGGTGATTTACATTTTTCAGACATGTTCTGCCTTATTCTGCAGCAAGAATACTCTCCGGCGTATTTCGTTCCCCACCCATTGCCTTCTTTCTCAAAAACATTTTTCCTGTGTTTTTAACACTAGATGCCCTTAGCTGTTCTAATAACTTCCAGCTTGCAGCATTCAGTTAATGGCCAGAGCATTGGGAGGCTTGCCGTCAATGTTAATAACCCCCTTTATTTTTGCTGTTTTGTTACTTCCATCTGTTGCAACAGGAAGGAAGGGTTAGCAGTAAATGCTGATTATACCTTCCCTGCTAAAGAAGAGAAAGGAAATGAGATGTCAGCAAGAATGCTCCGGCTGACAAAAATATTGTCTGCAATTGCTCTTTTAAACCTAGAAATCCCCGAGTAGGCAGATGCCTTAAAAAAAACAAATCTGAACACTGGTATAAATATCCTGTTATCTTTTACAAGCCATTGATAGTCTATCCAGCAGGCATGGCCTCTACACTTTGCTCACATTACAGTTCAGGTAATCTCTGCTGTGCTCTAATGTTAATGGACTATGATTGTCCACTCATTTTAAGGGGTGTGATATTCCAGGCCCAGACAGGGCTTCCATGTCCTTAAGATGTCTGTGACAGGGAGGAAACTCCTGCCCTCAATCCACAACTCTTCCTGGCCGTACCAAATCCCTTGATATCTTAGCACAAACCTCCCTCTGCTCATCCCCTCAAACCACACAAAACTCCTGCTTCTTAGCCCCTCAAACACCCCCAAACAAACTTCGGCTGAGCCGCAAAACCTAAATGCCCCCTAAACTCCAAATGCTCCCCCAGATTTCTCTCCTCAACCCCCCCAAACTCACCCCCCAAAAAAACTCCATGATTCTAGGAATACTCACACTGGCCTGTCAGACATATATACACACATACATACATACATACATGTATATTATACATACATAGTGCTTTTCATATATCTATATATATATCAATATCTATCTATCTATATCTATCTACATCTATCTTTTTGTAGTTCCTTTTTGAAAAGTTTTTATTGTTAAAATAATTCAGCATTAATCCACACATATTGTGAATATACAAACATACATTTCATACAATCCTTAAAAATGTTCAAACACACCTACACTCAATCCCACAGATAATTCCTTTTCCCATCACCATCCACCACCAATCACCCCACCTTTGTGTTAGACTTCCAATCTACTCAATTGCAGTTTCTTTCCACTTCTATTACTTTCTTTCACACACCTTTAACCTAATTTCATGCTTCTTTTTCTATTACACATTGTTATCCATCTTATTTAGTATTCCAGTATTTAAAACGGAACTTGTTTATTCTAATAGGAGTTCTGATTTTGCTATATGGTTTTGCAAGTATCCTTTAAACACCTTCTGGTTTCTCTTCAGATCGTATAAATCTTTCGCCTTTTACATAGAATCATAGAATCATAGAGTTGGAAGAGACCACAAGGGCCATCGAGTCCAACCCCCTGCCAAGCAGGAAACACCATCAGAGCACTCCTGACATATGGTTGTCAAGCCTCTGCTTAAAGACCTCCAAAGAAGGAGACTCCACCACACTCCTTGGCAGCAAATTCCACTGTCAAACAGCTCTTACTGTCAGGAAGTTCTTCCTAATGTTTAGGTGGAATCTTCTTTCTTGTAGTTTGGATCCATTGCTCCGTGTCCGCTTCTCTGGAGCAGCAGAAAACAACCTTTCTCCCTCCTCTATGTGACATCCTTTTATATATTTGAACATGGCTATCATATCACCCCTTAACCTCCTCTTCTCCAGGCTAAACATGCCCAGCTCCCTTAGCCGTTCCTCATAAGGCATCGTTTCCAGGCCTTTGACCATTTTGGTTGCCCTCCTCTGGACACGTTCCAGTTTGTCAGTGTCCTTCTTGAACTGCGGTGCCCAGAAGTGGACACAGTACTCCAGGTGAGGTCTGACCAGAGCAGAATACAGTAGCACTATTACTTCCCTTGATCTAGATGCTATACTCCTATTGATGCAGATATAGATAGATACTATCTATATCTATCTCTGTCTATCTATCTATCTATCTATCTATCTATCTATATCTTTTCATATATATCAATATCGATATATATGAAAAGATAGATAGATATATAGATATATATTCTCCTCTCCCCTCCCCAACATTGCACCTTCACGTGACAGAAAAGGTGGCGGTGGCAGGAAAAGGTGGGGGCTCCTTTGGGAGGAAGGGCGGGATATGGAAATTTAAGAAATAATATTAAAAGAATTAAAATATTAGGAAACCCCCACCTTTCCGTTTGCTCTGCCTTCTTCCTAAGTGACATGCAGTGTGTGTGTTTGTTTTCCTTTCTCCCCCCTCCCGAAAAGGACTCCTTTCTCCCCCCCTCCCCTCAAAGCCCCCCAACGAAGGCCCTGCGGACTTTACCTCAGCTTTTCCTCCTGAGGGCCTCCTCCTTCCTCCTCTCCCTTCCTCGTCTTCCTCCCTCAGCAAGGCCCAGCTGAGGAGAGGAAAGTGGGGTGGGGGGAGGCAAGGAGGCACCCTTGGGTGGCCGCTGACAGAAAGGGGGAGGAAAGGCCCCAGGAGGGGGGGCCGCCGGGGCCGGCGCTCACTGTAGGCTTGGGAGACGCGGGTGGGGGGGTGGCGATCACACAGGGTCCCCGGACGTTTCACCGTCTCTTGATCCCTGTGCCACCACTTTATTTCTCGCTGCCACCACCCAGGTCCTACCTGGTACAATACTGAGTCCAGTCAGAGTTAAATTGGAACATAAACTTCTGTTTATTTATTGCAGTTTAACAAGCGTGTGGTTTCATAAACAGTATCGGTCAATTACAATTGAAGGAGGTGAGGACAGGTGACCCCGCCTAGGCCCGAAGTCACCCCCCACCCACCCACCCAGGCCTCCAAACTGTCCAAAATTCCTTTCTCTCTTCTAAAAATCCACAGCTAAAGTTTTCCTCTGTTTTCTCACAAGATGCTGTGCAAGGGCAAACCGTTACTTTTATCGGTATAAGAAGGCTTCAAAAGGCTAATGAATAGGCTCTGTTCAAAGCAAGCCTGAGAACTGAGTCTTATCTCATTCAGTTGCAACATCTTGGACATGCTGAACCACAAGGCTCCTCAACCCCTTTCCTGGGAAGAGTCCAAAAGAGTCCCAAGACAGGAGCTTTCTGTTCATGCTCAGAGGAACTCATGGGGTAGGACTCCTGAGGGAGGAGAAAGGGGAGGGAACTGGAAGGGGAATATATGCTCTGTGCAAATGACTGTGAACCCGTGCTTGTTTTGTGAATCTATCACACTTGCTCCTTCTACCAGTTCGTGGATGGTAGAAATAAAGCTTTTTCTCCGAAACTATTCCTTGAGTGTCTGTTGACTCCCACTCCCTCTCCCGGGTGCAATACTTTTTCCCACCCGAGGGCAAAGCCTCATAAGGCTACACAATCATGGGGTGCCTATCCAGTCCTATAACATCCGCTACCTGCTCTCACTCCCTAAACTACCTCTCTGATATTTACTTGTCTTCCTAGCTCCTAACTGTTCCTGACTCAGATTATTTTGCTACACTGACTCAACCTACCCCCAGACTCTATCCCAATTCACTCCCACTCCAACCAACTCCCCAACTCCCCTGGGGTGATATTCTGCGCACCCCCCACCCGCGACTCCCAAGGCAAGCCTACCATCATGGCCGCGGCAAAGCGGCGCAGCTCCCCCCCTTCCCCCGACTCGCTGTGTAGGCTTGGGAGTCACGGGGGGGTGCCGAATGTCACCCCCCATCAGGATGACACCCGGTGCGTCCCGCATCCCCACACACACACCCCTTGCTCCATCCCTGCCGGTTGCAAAGGCCCTCTGAAGCGGCAAGGAGAGACGTTTTCCCCCCAGCTCCTGTTGCTGGAGGTCCTAAACTACTGAAAAGGGTTGTGGAAGATCGTGCAGTTAGAGAAAATGTACAAAACTAGTTCAAAAATATGCTGGAAGTGTAAAGAAAAGGAGGGGACATTTTATCATATGTGGTGGGATTGTAATGTAACTGAAAAAAATTGGGAAATGATATACAGTGGTGCCTCGCAAGACGAAATTAATCCGTTCCGCGAGAGTCTTCGTCTAGCGGTTTTTTCGTCTTGCGAAGCAAGCCCATTGACGGATTAGCGCTATTAGCGCTATTAGCGGTTTAGCGGCTATTAAAGGCTTAAAGGCTTAGGGGATTAGCTGCTAAAAGGCTATTAAAGGCTATTAAAGGCTTAGCAGATTAGATAAAGGGGGGGGAAAGCGAAAAAAATATCTCTAGACTCGCAAGGTATTTTCGTCTTGCGAAGCAAGCCCATAGGGGAATTCGTCCTGCGAAGCAACTTCAAAACGGAAAACCCTTTCGTCTAGCGGTTTTTCCGTCTTGCGAGGCATTCGTCTTGCGGGGCACCACTGTACAACGAATTGAAGAAAATGTTCCATTTAACGTTTGTTAAAAAACCTGAAGCATTTATGTTCGGGATTGTAGGGAAAGATCTGCCCAAAAAGCTGAAAAACATATTTATGTATGCGACAACGGCCGCCAGAGTTTTAATAGCAAAGGATGGAAGACTGAAGAAACCCCAACTAAAGAATCATGGCAAGAAAAATTGATGGACTATGCAGAACTGGCAAAACTGACATATAAGCTACGGGACAAGGATAACTGTGACTTTAAAGATGAATGGGAACCCTTTACAAAGTATTTGAAGATGCAACAAAGCGAATTGGACTCCTTGGCTGGCTTTGAATAAACATTCACAAACTTGATAATAATCACCTAAATAGTTTGAGGATCTATACAACTCTGTAACATGCAGAAAACAGCATTCTCAGAGAAACCAAAGACTGGAAAAGAGGGAAGCCGGGGGGGGGGGTTGTCTGGGGGGGGAGGGAGGAAAAATGGGGGGGGAATAAGGATGATATGTTTCTGGATAATATGTTTTGTTTTAATTTTGAATAAAAAAATATTTTAAAAAAGGGTTGTGGAAGATCAAAATGGTTGGCCTCCTTTTGCTGCCTTGATGTCTTCCTGCTATTCTGTTATGCCCTGAATGATCCCATTGGGAAATAATCTTTCCCCCATCCTCTCCCTCTCTCTTCCATGGATGAATAGCTCTGCCCTGCTGCTGTTGCCATAACAGATTCTGTCTTTCAAGACGCTCTGCTATTCCCCTTCTTTTCAGGGTAAAATGAAGGTGATTCACACACACACACCCCCCATGGTCCTCAAACGCACCCGCGCTCAGTGTTAATTCAAGTCAGCATCCCGTAGTGGGAGCCCATAGAGTTGGGGTCATATGAGCCTGTTTCCTGCTGTCACCACGGTGACCTCCAAGATTCTAACTGGCCAGAGGATGTTATAATTCAAAAGGTGGTGCAGAGTGATGGGCAGTTGGCTTAAACAGAAGGTGCCAGGACTGAAAAGACGTCCGTTAGGGGAAGAGCAGCTGAAGTGATGACAAGTTTGAGTCACAACAAGCCCTACGATGCCCTGGTTGGTAGATAAAGGTAAAGGGACCCCTGACCATTAGGTCCAGTCGTGGCCGACTCTGGGGTTGCGGCGCTCATCTCGCTTTACTGGCCAAGGGAGCCGGCGTACAGCTTCTGGGTCATGTGGCCAGCATGACTAAGCCGCTTCTGGCGAACCAGAGCAGCGCACAGAAACGCCGTTTACCTTCCCGCTGGAGCGGTACCTATTTATCTACTTGCACTTTGAAGTGCTTTCAAACTGCTAGGTGAGCAGGAGCTGGGACTGAACAATGGGAGCTCACCCCGTCACGGGGATTCGAACCGCCGACCTTCTGATCGGCAATCCCTAGGCTCTGTGGTTTAGACCACAGCACCACCCACATCCCTTCAGAGATAATTATGTGGTGCCCCCCCAAAAAATTTGACCAGCTTAATCTGGCTACCTAGTGAAGTCACAGGCACCGGCTAAATCTTACGCCTATTAAGCTCACCTGTTTCTAAAATTCGGTGAGATAGGGGTTACAACAGCAACAATGGTCATCATTCATCAAAAGAACAATTGCTATTTCTGGCTCTCACATGAGAGCAGAATCTAACCAAACTGCTTTTGGTTCTGGATCAATGTGGATCATTTATGGATATTTACTTATTTATCTACTACTTTTCCTCCCAATGTTTTGTTTTGTTGATCCCTGGAAACTCTTGGTACATAGGCTGCTTTGGACAAGTGCAATGTACATTATTCTACAAAATGCAATATAGATTGACCATAGTACTGAAAATAAAAATGTGATTTTGAAGGAGCCTCAGACTTCATCGGCACATCTAGTGAAAAATATATTCAAGACTAAGTCCCATTGAAGGCCATTGAATGGGCCTTAGTAATGTCTTATCTAAACCTCATGGGGGGCACTGGGACCTTGACTAATTGGGGTGGCTTTTTAAGGGAATCCCCCTTTCTCCCTTTTCTCTTGCTGTCTATCACAGCATCCACTTGCATCTATGTTACCGTCTCTAAGTTGTCCAATGATTTCATTGATTCCCCAGCTATAAATCCTTAACTTCTCAGCTGGCTTCATGGGACAATGAAGCAGAACATGTGGACATCTCAATGGCACAATTTCCTACCTGCCATGTTGATAGGAATGCTGAAATAACACAAATAGGCTAAGCCGAGAGCACTCCTCGCTTACTGATCGAGCGTCCGGTAAGAAGTGGACAACGGAATAGCGATGATGCAAAGTTGTTTCTTGCTGTCTCTATGGTAACCCTGCAGAGTGTGAGGGAGGGGCTAGGAGAATATTGGAATCAGAATCAGATAGTGTCAACATGGAAGGTGGAAGAGCAGCCCAGGGGTGAGAAAAGGGTGATCCGTTCACCTTTCCTGGTTGACCACTGATCTTCACACCCTCCAACAACTCTCTCATGAAAATAGGAACACTCTATTCTATTATGACTATGACTATGATTATTTGTACCCCACCCATCTGACTGGGTTGCTCCAGCCACTCTGGGCGGCTTCCAACATATATAAAAACATAATAAAACATTGAACATTAAAAAAAACTTCCCCTATACAAGGCTGCCTTTCGGTGTCTTCTAAAGGTTGTATAGTTACTTATCTCCTTGGCTTCGGGGTCGCATAACTCCATACCTGCTCCAACATTCCTCCGAGAAAAAATGAGGACGTCCTAAGGCAAAGCGGGACATTCTGGGATAAAATCAGAAACTGGGACGGCTTCTGTAAATCCAGGACTGTCCCTGGAAAATAGGGGCACTTAGAGGGGCTGCCATTTTCTGCCTGAGGCAGCAAAATGTCTCAGACTAGCCCCAAAGAGGGGTGCTAGGCCATAAAATCAGCATGGAAGCCAGATAGCTTTCTGTGCAGCAGATAATATATACACCCAGAAAGATCCTTGTGCTGATTCTGTAGTCATGAGCATGACTAGGTGCTCATGAAAGTGGCTTTCAGACTGTCCACTCCTCGAAGCAATGACATTCAGAGCAACTGAACAGGTCTAAGTGGCTCCTTCAGAATAATCTGAATGAGCCATATTTTATTGTAATACCAAGGATATTATTGCGACGTATGTGACCTCAGATTGTTGACATTTCAGTACTGGATGTGATTAGGCATTTGCAATATAAATTATAATTGTTAATTGCTATCTTGGGCTGTGTTCGCGTTACCAGCTTAAAATGCAGCTAAGTCACTCTTTTTTTGCAATTCAGATTGAAGCTGGCTTGGGGGGAAATGTAACATGATTGGATAAATACAGGAGAGGTATGGATTTTGGCTAATGTCCTGTGAACTCTGCTTCCCACACTGGGTAAAGGGACACACAAAATGCAGAGTAAACAGGAGTTCACAGCCTTAGAGTGTTGTGTTTACTGGCTAGTGCCTTCATTGTTTTCTAGGTGTTCTCCTTTTTCCTTGTTCTTTCTTAGTCTGGGAGCAACTTTTCTGTCCCTGTTTATCTGTACAGTGGTACCTCGGGTTACATACACTTCAGGTTACATACGCTTCAGGTTACAGACTCCGCTAACCCAGAAATAGTGCTTCAGGTTAAGAACTTTGCTTCAGGATAAGAACAGAAATCGGGCTCTGGCGGCGCGGCAGCAGCAGGAGGCCCCATTAGCTAAAGTGGTGCTTCAGGTTAAGAACAGTTTCAGGTTAAGTACGGACCTCTGGAACGAATTAAGTACTTAACCCGAGGTACCACTGTATGTGAAAGGCTCTCGTGCCAAAGAGCTTGCCCCATTGCATAATCTGCAATAAAGGTAAAGGGATCCCTGACCATTAGGTCCAGTCATGACTGACTCTGGGGTTGCGGCGCTCATCTCGCTTTACTGGCCATGGGAGCCAGCATTTGTCCACAGACAGCTTCCGGGTCATGTGGCCAGCATGACTAAGCCGCTTCCTGCAAACCAGAGCAGCACACGTAAACGCCATTTACCTTCCCGCTGGAGCGGTACCTATTTATCTACTTGCACTTTGACGTGCTTTCGAACAGCTAGGTTGGCAGGAGTAGGTACCGAGCAACAGGAGCTCACCCCGTCGCGGGGATTCGAACCGCCGACCTTCTGATCGGCAAGTCCTAGGCTCTGTGGTTTAACCCACAGCGCCACCTGCGTCCCTATAATCTGCAATAGCTACTAGCTACTGCAAATTATGGGGGGGTATAAGTTGGGATGGGGGGTTGATGACTTCTAGAAAGCCCTTTCACAAGGAAGTCAACCTCATCCCTACAAGCACTGGTTTCCAGCAATATTGCCAGAGCACTTCTCAAGTTGCTGAGAAACAGTGGCCTTTGAGGCTAGAAAGCAAGGTTCTTCCTATTATTATTATTATTATTATTATTATTATTATTTGAATTCATATACCGCCGTTTAGGGGCGTGAGTGGTGCTGTGGGTTAAACCACAGAGCCTAGGACTTGCCGATCAGAAGGTCGGCAGTTCAAATCCCTGCGAAGGTGTGAGCTCCCATTGCTCGGTCCCTGTTCCTGCCAACCTAGCAGTTCGAAAGCACGTCAAAGTGCAAGTAGATAAATAGGTGCCGCGCCAGTGGGAAGGTAAACGGCGTTTCCGTGTGCTGCTCTGGTTCGCCAGAAGCAGCTTAGTCATGATGGCCACATGACCCGGAAGCTGTATGTCGGCTCCCTTGGCCAATAAAGCGAGATGAGCGCCGCAATCCCAGAGTCGGGCACGACTGGACCTAATGGTCAGGGGTCCCTTTACCTTTTTACTGCCCTATACCCAGAGGTGTCAGGGCAGTTCACAGAAAAGATCAACATAAAAACCACAATAGATATAATCTAAATAAAAAACAACCCAATAACACACACATCCCCCCAAAAGAGCCATATTTTAAAAGGGCATAGGATGTCAATCAGATCAAGCAAAGGCCTGGTTAAAAAGGAAGGTTTTTGCCTGGCCCCTAAAGGTGTATAATGAAGGCGCCTGGTGAACTTTCCTGGGGAGAGCATTCTGAGGAGATTTCACCCCTCCCATATCCAAGAATCTCCTGAGGAGTCTGCTGATTCTCCAGAGAGGAGGAGGCGTGTTCTGTTCTCTACTTATTCTGCTCCAGCACCAAATCAGTCAGTCAGTCAGTGTCGGAGAGAGAGAGAGAGACTGAGTGTTAGAGATCGTGTGTAGAGATAAGGTTGCTGCTAAGAGCAGCTGCAGACACTCAGTGCAGTGTAGCATTTATTTATGCTTAGACCTATTAAGCTCTGTATGTATAGTTGTAGTTATAGAATAAAGAAGATATTCTACAGAGCTGCTCTCCAAGTTGTTTATATACTCTGCTAGAGTCTGCTGTACTCTGCTGTGCGACGACTGTCTTCTTGTGGAAGTGAATCCGGTGCTCACATCTCTAAGCTGTGAGTCCACAGCACTTTGACCTGTTCCTGTGCAGAAGGTGGTCTCTGGAAGTGCTACCCAGCTCGCCTAGCCCAGTCGGGGCTGAAGTGGATGAGTCCAGTTGGTGGCACTGGCTCAAGGGCGATGCTGACACATTCCACAGACGGGGAGCCACTGCAGAGAAGGCCCCGTTCTCGTGTTGCCACCTTCCGGACCTCTCGAGGAGGAGGCACATGAAGAAGGGCCTCTGAAGATGATCTCAGCGTCCAGGTAGGTTCATATGGAAAGAGGCGGTCCTTGAGATATTGCGGTCCTGAGCCATTTAAGGCTTTATAGGTCAAAACCAGCGCTTTGAATCGGGCCCAGAAACTAATTGGTAGCCAGTGCAGTCAGACCAGGATCGGAGTAATATGCTCAAACCGTCTTCCTCCGGGGAGCAACCTGGCCGCTGAATTCTGCACTGGCTGAAGTTTCTGAACCGTCTTCAGAGGCAGCCCTACGTATAACGCATTGCGGTAATCTAACCTTGAGGTTACCAGAGCATAGATGATGTAGTTTGGCTATCCCTGTCCAGGTAGTTTTGTTGTGGGGATGGTGGTTGTATAGCCGTCGATGGCTTCTAATTGGACGGTGCCCATCTTGCATTATTGGGGTACATTGCTAAGACTTTCCCTGACTGGCTGTGCCATTTTGAGCAGCAAGGAGTACCAATTCCCTTTAAATCTAGGATTTAGGGTTTTCAGCGTGTTACTTCTTCGCATGATTCCCTTCTGTGAGTATCATTAGCCTCTCCCTCCTATGTATTTTTTCATTACAGCCCTGCCCTGATGCTCCCCCAGACTTTCCCCCACGTTCCTGTCCTCTTCAGTGCCAAGGTGGGATTGCACTGGGCATGTTTACTTCGCCCCACGCCCCACGCACAGAGGTCTAAGACTCTGACTGCAATGTGATGAAGCAGCTCATCCATTGTCTTCAACATGGTGCTAAGGAACTCCTTGTGCAAGACGAACAACTTCCGCTTACACAATGGGACTTCCCCTCCCTTCCTGCATCCCCTAAATCTGTTCCCCTAACTCTCCAGGGCAGATTTGGGGGTGTTACGGTAGGGAGAAAAAAGTAGGGGGTGGATAATTGCATTGTGCAAGCAGAAGTTGGTCCACCTGAGCAATTCTTTAGTTGAATAACACTCTAAGAGTTTCCTTCTCAGGGTATTAGATGCTGTTGAGTATGTCTTCCATTCACTGGCACCCTATAACAACATAGCATAAAGAGTACTTTTTATTAAAAAAGAAGATCAGTTTTTAAGGAGAATCAAGGGCAAGAGAGATCCTGCATGATATAGATATGTGTGTATATATATATATTACAACTTCCATTAATGTTGAGAGCCAAACCGGCAGAGAGCTTACAACTAAAATTCTGAATTTACCCAACGGGGTAGTAAAAGGCTACAAGCTACTCCCATAACTCAAGCAAGCGAAACTGATGCTGGAATGGTTGTAATAGGGAACTGACAGGGGTACGTGCTCATCTGTGAAGAGAGTCGTTTCTCATAACTTCCTCGACATGAATAGGAAGTGAAGATGGATTGGAGATTGGCTCTGAAATAAGAACAGGCACCTCCTAAAAAGAGCCATTACTGCATTCCAGGAAAATGACAGATGGGCTGTGTTAGTTAAGGGCTTAGTACCATATTGTTTGCATTTTACTCTTCCAGATCCAGGACTGTAACATGTCGATAGCTTTTTGTTCCTTGAGGCTTCCCCTCTTGAACTTCAAATCGTTCCCGCAAATTCTGCCCGCCGGAATAAGGTTCTCAGCCCATTCAAACCACGGCGCATTGTCAATCACTCTTTTAAAAAATAAAAATGGCAAGGCGACTAGGGCAAAATCTAGAGTCAAGTATTGTTGCTGTCGATAATCCCTATGCACAGGGTGGGTCATGGGAGAGTATATTCATGCCTTTCTAGGAATATAGGGGCACTTGGAGTGTCTGTGGCAATGGCTCTTACATTTTGGAAAGTGCAACAGCAGGGATCTTTCACTTCGTCACTTAAAAGTCAACTAGCCAAGAGGGGGACAACTGGAGGTGTCACTTAGCAACCAGGCAGAACGGCATGATCTTGCGTGCGGTAGCACATGCTCTAATTGGCTGCGTAGTTCTGAAGGAATTGTTCCTCTGTTTGTTTCATTGAATGTTACCCTGCTACATACAAGGCCTGACGTAAGAAAGAAAGAAAATCTCTCTGTTCATTCCTCCTCAGATTATACCCTGTGTTTTCTTCAGTCTTGGAAGTAACATGCTTCAAGACTTTTCTCTCTGCTTTCTTTAAGTGGCTTTGCTAACACTGTTTTACAGATATGTAAATAACTATATGCATGGGTATATGTAAACATTTTGTCTTCTTTAGCTTTTTTTGCTTTTTTTCCTTTTCTTTGGTTATTTGTATCTTTTTCTTTTTTGTATTGAATAAAATTTAATAATAATAATAATAATAATAATAATAATAAAGCATACTATCAAGTGGCTTTGCTAACACTGCGTGCATATAACCAAATGCACATAGGAGCTCCATGAGTGATGGGGCAACATGGTTGCACCAAGATTCCTGATAGCACTATAGGCCCTATACATGGACAACTGTATCATATCCCCCAAC